CGTAACGGTCCTTCACTTTCCCCACGCGCCCATCGAAACACGCCCTGCCCCTCAAGTGTTTTTAAGAATATCTGTTACTCTTATTATTAATTAATTCCTATAGGCAATAAAAAATTAATTAGTTCCATATCATATCATATCATATAATTGAACCTTGCTTTAAAAGTACTTATATTTCAGTTTAATAATATACACATATATATTTATACTACTGTACAAGAACGAGTGCTTTTGTAAAAAAAGAACTACTTAAAAAATATTTACTTTGACACGTTTTTAATGATAAATTAGTAATACACTAATATACATCTCTTCTTATATTTTTAATTATAACTAACATTTACCTAAAAACCCCTTTATTTGACAATTTTTTATATAAAATTAGCAATACACTAATGCTCATTTAATATCTAACAGACTAGAAAAGTAGAAGAATTCATTTAACTACTTCACTATTCTTGTATTTAGAATTAGATTTAGAAATTGCACCTTTGTTTTATTGGATTGAATTTTGATCTCAGAAAAATCGTCATTTATTTGTTTGTTGGTTTTAGTTTCAAATTTTGGTCGCAAAGCCAATAAAGTTAACGAATCTTCAACTGACCATTAGGGGATTAATATCAAGTTGCCTAATATTTTAATTGTTAACATTTAAAATATTTGAAGTTTTTCATTCAATTATTAACAAAAATATATCATGATGTTTTAATTATTATTACTTCATTTGAGAAATTGATTTTCAAGATGGGCGCTCTATAATCGATGATGATTAAAATTTTTATATAATAAATATTTTATTTATTGATATTATTTTAAGATTCTTAAATATATTTATGATTTTCTCACTAAAATTTGAGAGTTGATTTAACCGTAAGTATCCTATTAAATAAGATAATTGTTTCAATAGTATTTACTTAATTTGTATGCTTGTTAATAATTATAAGTAAGAAATTCAAAATCGATATTGCTTGTCCTCATAACGACCATAAACTGTAGAAATATTTTTTTTTTTCAAAATAACCTATAAAAAAGATTAAAATGTGTAATAGTACATGAATAATTGTTTTGAATAAATGTTTTTGAATAATTGTGTAATAGTATGAGAATAATTATTTTTTTGAATATATGTTTTGAAACCTAAAGTTCTAATGTACTCAATTTCTTTACTTAAAATAATATTAAAATAATTTTTTGAAATTATATATAATACTAAAACCCAATCCTTTTGTTTTCATGTCGAGTGGGATACTACTTGAGTAGCCCGATTTACTTTTAACTATACCATTATCCATAAATTAATTAAGATATCTAGAGATTCATGATATGCATATCTACACTGAATATTAATTAATTTTATCAATAATTTATATCATATATTACCATTACTAATCTATTATTAATAACTATAAGTAGAAAAATTGATATCGATAATGTTTGTTCTCATAATGTTCATAAAGGCTATGTTTGGTAAAACTAGCTGATAAGCTAGCTGATAGCTTATTAGTAATTTTCGAGCTTATAGCTTATAGCTTATGACTTATAGCTGAAAAGCTAGCTTATATGATAAAGGTGTTTGGTAAAATTAGCTGATAAGCTAGCTGAAATAAAAATTTCAACGAGCTTATTTGAAAAGCTACCAAAAGAAGCTTATCAAATAAGCTCGAGCTTTTTAAATAAGCTCGTCCTACCAAACGGAGTTTATTTAAATACAGAGAGCTTATAAGCTAATTAAATAAGCTATAAGCTAGCTTACTGATGTACTAAACATAGCCAAAGTATAGAAACATTTTTTTATTTTTATTTTTTTTCAAAATAACCTATAAAAAAGAGAGTAAATTATGTAATAGTATGAAAGATTAATTGCAGAATGTTTGTTTTGTAGACTAAACATTTAATCTACTCAATTTCTTTGTTTAAAATAAGATTAGAACAATTTTATGAAATTGTATAATACTAAAACCCAATTTATTTACTAACTATTAACTATGTGAAATAAAAGAAAAAATAAACAAGTTGTATGTTAAACTATTTTTCAATTACTACTTGAAAGGGAACACCATAGTGGTTGTAAAAAATATTTTTTATGGATATGAAAATGAGTTAGTTACTTAATATTTTAGCAAACCATGGAAAAAATTTAAAACTTTTTAATCTTATAAATATAATAAAAAATAAATTGTTATCAAATATTTTAGTACTATCAAACACGTAAAAGAAAAACGCAATGCATATGAATGTACTGTAATTCTTTCAAAAAGTAAAATATTATTTGTCATTAAAATAAAAAATAAATAAAACAATAATAATGCAATGGGGAAAAGAAAAAAATTGAATTTTCTTAGAAAAGTATGAATACCAATATCAAGAAACAAAAATCTTTTAAAATTATTATTTTTTTGTTGATACCATTTAATATTGTTCTCTATAAGAAATTGGTTCTCATTAATTATGATTCCATATTATATAATACAGAACATAAACTCTAATAAGAAGTTAATAATAATAATGTTCACAAATATCTAAGAGTATCATAATATAATAGAATTCAAATTCTTCTCGTCTAAAATATTTTGACAAATGATATGTTTCTCAATATTGTCAAATTTTTGTATTATTATTATATTAATAATCATGAAACAAGTTTTATCTTGAATTTTCGAAGCATTATGTATGATGTAAAAAGTTGGACTTCATTAAATAAGTAATTAGACACATAAATATTGCAAATCAGAATGAATGTGAAAGGTATTATGATAAACAACTCTAAAATCAATGCAACAACCAAAATGTTTAATGATTTGCAAATAATAGGTTATGTAGTTCGTCTATCTTCCAAATAAATAATACTGAAAAGGGAATGTTTGATTCTGATCAAAACCTTTTTGAATGTTTGAATAAGATGTCACGTTTTTATAGGAATATTTACAATCTTAATTGTGTATTTTGCTCGATCATATGCACAATTACTTTAGAGTATGTACTTTCATGTAATGTGTGATGATTTAAAAAAAAAAAAAATTAGTGTCTTCGGAAAAATACATAATTTTGGAATGTTAACTTTATTTAGAGGATGAAATTCGTTTCCACCCCATGGGGTATGTACCAATTAATTTGTTAATATGCGCGCGCGCACACACACAGATAGAGAGAGACAGAGAGAGACAGAGAGAGACAGAGAGAGAGAGAGATCTAGAGTAATGTAGTAATTTATATAATGATTAAAAAATATCAAAAATTTTAATGACACAATTAGTTATTTCACATGGATATTATAAACCGTTAGTAGAAGTACCTTATAATGATCATACAATCATGAAGTTTGACCATATGTTAGGCTAAAATATTTGTAAGTGTTGAATAAAGCAAACGTTTCGCAAAATTAATTAAGAATTTTGCAATACTATTAATGTATTGACTTCAACGAGTACGCATGTTTCTTATGAGAACGTCAAAACCACAGTGAAAGAAAATCACTCCTGAATCTGATATAAATAAATAAAAGAACTCATGCATCTAGGGCTGAGCATGAGATTAGGAGAATTCTGAGTTGTGCCGAAATCGAACCAAAATTACTTCGAATAAAAAAATAATCGTTGACCATTTGACTTTTTCCGAACCGAATCGAACCGAAAGAATAATTCGTACGGTTCTGGAGATTTTACTAATATCAGTCCCGAGAACTTACCGTACCGAGCCGATGATAAGAACCAAATTATAAAAATAGATGTGTGTTATTGATATATTTTATGTCAACTTTGATCCTATATAATTTGAAAAAAAATAAATGCAAATAAATTATAGTAATAACAATTAAGTTTCATGCTTAGTAGTATTTGATATATAATTGAATTTCTTCTTGTTTAAAAAGAAAATATATAAAATTGAATGAAAGGTTAAAGAAATATTTTTTAGAAAATATTTTAACTTTACTTAAATTTCTCGATATTTAGTCTCATTCTATCTTATAAACATGTTATGCAAGGTTAAAGAAATATTACTTTAATAAAAAACTATATTATATTTTGTTTGAATTTTAAATTTTCAATGTTAGCTGCACAAATTTAGTCTTACCTAAAATTTAGAGTTACTTCGAAAGTTGATTTAAAAATAAAATCTTTCGTATGACGAAGTATTGATAAATGTTGGATTTAAAAAAACTTATAAAAATAAAATATAACTAGGTAGTCATTCAAAAAATGTTTAAAAAATAATTAGAAATCTCCGAACATCTAAACCGAATTAAATGGAACCGAACCGTCCCGAATATCAAACCAAACCAAACCGAACCGAACCGAACCGTGACATAAAAATTTCCAAACTGAACCGAACCGAACTGAATTTTTAGTACTGTTCTTGAGATCGAATTTTTGTGATCTCCAAATTTTGGTACGGTTTTAAAGATTTATCTATCTCCGAACCATACCGACCCATGTGATGCATCTATAACATACATTATGTCATTGTTTAATTATTTAGGGCTTTTTTTATTAGGGACTCATTTTTCATATATTTTTGTTCGAATTGTAATATGTTGTTTAAATCTTTTTATGTTACGACATCATTATGTTATTCTTGAAAAAAATAATACATTAGAAGTTTATTTGTTCATCATTTTATTTTGTTCCTACAATCATATGTTTAATAAATTAATTAATTTACCTTACTAAACTTAATCGGCCAAAAACATTTGTCACCACGTGCATCGCACGTTCACTTTACTAGTAAAATAAAAATATGTGTTATATATATCTAAAAAATCGCGTGTTATGTGACCTTATGGGAAAGCGCAGAATCACGCGGGGTGTGCATATACTTGTGCGACGTTGATAGCTGCAAGGATTTTCTTTGAATTCATGATTGATCGGTTACATACATGTATTGACATTTGATACGAAATCTCTCTATAAATTTGATCAACCTAAACACAGTTCATTCATATTCCTATATATGCTTTTGTAAATTAAACTTGATCTTCAATTTGTTCTTTTAAGATTAAGATTATGGAGAGGTTTATGAAAATATGTTTGCTGCTGGCATTCCTATGCCCGAGCGCATTGGAATGCAAGAAACATGATGCCGACACCAAGCCTACCAAACAACAAATCCAATACTCGGGTTTAAGTTGTCGAAAAAAGATTGCCTTTTTGAACGATTACGGTGCGAAAGGAGATGGAAAGACATCAAACACGGATGCGTTTAAGGCGGCCGTTGCCGATTTGAGCAAGTACGGATCAAAAGGCGGAGGAGGAGCAATGCTCGTGGTCCCGCCTGGAAAATGGTTGACGGGGTCGTTCAATCTCACAAGTTATTTCACGCTCTACATTCACCACGATGCTGTTCTTCTTGCATCTCAGGTTGTACCCTTTTTCCCCTTAACCAATATGCATATATACGTTCACTTTCGTTCAGTCTCACAAGTCATTTCATGCTCTATATTCACCACAATGTTGTTCTTCTTGCAACTCAGGTTGTACCCTTTTTCTCTTAACTATTGTTCATACGTCGTCACTTTCATATCTTCTCTTACTTTTTTTTTCCCCAAAGTATAAAGACACGGAACATCGTTGACTTTTGACACATATACAACAACAGTTAGACGGATCTAACGATTATGCAACCACATTTTTCATTAGATATGTGTATTTTCAAATTGAATGTAATAATTTAGTAAAGAAAAAATAAAAATAAAAAAGTAAACAAATGTATGACACATATTTTTTTTTTTATTATTTTTTTAAAAGTACGACTGTCGATCCGCTTAATGGTTAGGCCCACCAACACAAGAATTTTGGGGTACAACGTCCAACATGTTCACTTTTGAAGATACAGTTACTTTCTTTATTTCAATTTTGTAAGAAAAGATTGTGTAACACGATATTATGGATTTGATAGGATGAAAAAGATTATCCTCTAATTGACCCATTGCCCTCATATGGAAGAGGAAGGGATGCTGCAGGACAAAGGTTTGCCAGTCTCATATTTGGAACAAACCTAACTGACGTCGTTATTACAGGTAACTAAAATTGGGTTAGTCACCTATATTTTTTTTCATTTTGGGTTAAGCACCTATATGTCAAAGCTTCATGGTACACCAAATCAAATAGTGCATGTTATTCCCAACGGTTTTGCTATGGAGTCATCGTATCGATTTATGAAGTCATGTATAATTATTTATACATAGAATTTCTGTGATTCCCAAATACAAGAGTTACTATACAAAATAGGCATCCATCTCAAATTATAAAACATATTTTATAATTTTGCAAAAAGAAATACAAAATTAAGAATGCAAATTTATTTATTTTTTATTTTATTTTATTTTTTTTATCAGGAGGGAATGGAACAATAGATGGTCAAGGCCAGACATGGTGGACAAAATTCAGGCATAAAAAGCTTAAGAACACAAGACCATACTTGGTTGAGATCATGTACTCAACCAAGGTGGTAATTACCAATCTTACCCTCATCGACGCTCCTACCTGGAACGTTCATCCCGTCTACAGCAGGTGGGGTCCTTTTATCTCAACTTTATGCTAAATTGCTCGTTTTTTTAGTAAAGTTCCGCTGACATTATTTGATGTTTTTTTTTTTTTTTTTGATAGCAATATCATAATTGAAAGTCTTACGATCTCTGCCCCCTATACTTCACCAAACACTGATGGGATCAACCCAGGTAGCGTACGTGATTAATTTTTTTTGCCATATATATCATTATTTCATGCTAAAAAACTGTTAAACGAAATGAGTCGTTCGTAAATTTTGGCTCGACTTGACTCGTTAAGGCTCGAGAAGATGAATTGTTAAATAATTTTTTAATCGGCTCGTTAATATTACTAAACGAGCCGAGCTCGGACTCAGTTACTAGCTTGTTAATTAGGGCTCGTTCGTAAGTTCGGCTCGATTTGACTCGTTAAGACTCGAAAACTTGAATTTTTATATATTTTCAATCGGCTCATTAATATTAATAAACGAGTCGAGCACAAGAAATATATGATATGTTGATGTCTAGTCTAGATGACAAGTGGTGATATTTGATTGGCTAGAAAATGACTGAATTGTTACATTAGAACACTTCACGGCACTATAGAATTTTCCTCTTCTCTCTGCATATATATCATTATTTTAGGCCATAATAGTTAAGTCGAGTCGTTCGTATGTCTGGCTCGACTTAACTTGTTAAGGCTCTAATAGATGAATATTTGATATAATTTTCAATCGGCTCGTTAATAATAACAAACGAGTTGGACTCAGGCTCGATTACTAGCTAGCTTGTTAATTATGGCCGTGATGAATTTGAGGCTTGACCCATTACTGAATCTTCCGAATATTTTTTACTCTCACAATAGATTCATGCTCGAACATTCGCATTCGTGACTCGTACATCATGTCGGGCGACGACTGCATCGCAGTCAAAAGCGGGTGGGACGAGTACGGCATCAAGTTCGGTATGCCCACCCAACACCTAAGCATCAAACGGCTCACGTGCATCTCTCCCTACTCGGCCGTAATAGCCCTCGGAAGCGAAATGTCGGGCGGCATCCGGGACGTCCGTGCCGAGCAAATCTACGCCTTCAGCTCCGAATCAGGCGTGAGGATCAAGACGGCGCCCGGGCGTGGGGCCTACGTGAAGGATATTTACGTCCGGGGCATGGAAATGCACACAATGAAGTACGTCGTTAGGATGGCGGGCAACTACAATCAGCACCCGGACAGTAACTACGACCCGAACGCGCTTCCCTTGATAAATAATATTAACATCAGGGATGTTTATGCAGACGGTGTGAAGACCGTGGGGAATCTTTTGGGGATCGCCAGTGACACGTTTACCAAGCTTTGCTTTTCGAACGTGACGGCTGAGCTGGCGAAGAAAAATAACTCGTCGGTTTATGATTGGCCGGAGTACGGGGTGGACATGGACATGGACATGGACATGGACAAGGATAATAAAGATAAGGAGAAAAAGAAGAAGAAAGCGAAGGGGTGGAAATGTGCTGATATTGAAGGCGTGTCGAAGGATGTGACTCCGGAGCCATGTGATTTGCTGCCTGGTACGAAAAACAGCTGCGATTTTCCGACTGATACGTTGGCTATTGATACTGTTCAGTTGAAAACTTGTTCTGCTAACTACTGAATTAGTATTTGTTATGGGAAGTGTGTGATTGAGAGTGTGGCTTTTGGCTTTGATGATGAACTTATATGTGTGATGGTGGTGATAGAAATGCTTATGATGATATGTAATAGCTACTTGAGATAAACAAAACGTTATTATGGTATCAGGTCTATAGCTACTTTAAATAAACTCAGTTTGAATACCTTGTAATAGGAATGACATAAAAACTTTTAGAGATAAATCTTCACTTGCTTGTTGTTAAGATTATCATAAGACGTACAAAATAAAAAAAAAAAAAAAATGAATTATGGGTAACTAAGCTCAAGCACAAGTATTTATTTTTGTTTTAGAAATTTTCCGTTTAACCATATTGGCGAACAAACTAATCAACAAAATAATACAGAAAGGCGACGTGTAAGTTAAGAGTTTAACATTAAACATCGTAATTAGCATAGCCCAATTTACATCCGTTAGTGATTTCAAAAATAGGATTCTTTCATTAATTAAAAAAAAAAAAAAAAATTGATTACATGGTATCTCCCAGGCCTACTTTGAAGCCTACTTGACATTCGAGTCGAGCGCGATAGCCAGATTGTCTCCGGCCTCGGCTCGACCAGCGAGGGAGACGGTGTCGGAGGTGGAGGATCTAACTTGGGAGATTTCTAGAGCTTGAGGCGGTTCATGTCAGTTGGTTTCTCACCCTTCTTGAAGCCGACGAGTTTGGCGAAATGCGGGAGGAGCCGAGGGAGGAATGGATGAAAGTGATGTTTGAGTAGGAATTGGTGGTGTGGGGATGGATGTTGCCGGAGAAGATGGCGGCAATGAGGAGAGAGAGATGGCGGGAAAATTTCACTGACCAAAAACATTGTTATTATATGTAAGCGTGTATACTCAGTATACCTCGACGAGTGTTTCGGCCATGGTGCTTCAACTCCCCTGGATTGGTGCTTCAACTCCCCGGGAAGCATGGGCCGGTCAATTTTCTCAACATGAAGACAAGTGTTTCGGCCATGGTCATCCACAATATGTCTCGGTTTTAGGTTTAATGTTGCAAAGGCGAGAACTGGATCTCTGTTGTGAGGCTATGATGACTGCCTCCGACGGTGGATGGTTGGTCAATTTTCACCGTGGCGTGTGAAGTGTAGAGCAAAATTGGATGTGGAATGAGAGATTGGTCGGAGATGGCATGAGCGAATTCTGAGAGTTCTTACAGAGAGTGAGAGAAATAAAAAAGAAAATAAAAAAGAAAATAGAAAATAAAAAAGAAAATAGAAAATAGCAAAAATCTCATAGGGGTAATTTTGTCCACAGTTCGGCCTAGGGGTAATTTTCTCATTAGCATAGTCCGCTCTGTTACACTAGAAGTACAACAACTTAACAATATTTGTGAGGTATAATTTACAAATAGAATTATGCCTTGAATACAAAGAGAAAAATACAATCTAAAACCATTTTGTTCTATGTTTTTCCAAAGTGCACTGGAGGCCTCATGCACAGTCTTTCAATATCAATTCCATATGGTTTTTTCATTGGCTGAACCTTAATCTCATACAGCTTCGGCCACAACTTTCCGGTCACTGTTAAAAATCAATTGAAAAACAATAAAATTAATACGCTGCAACTTTAGGTTATAAGTGCTCCTCACCATATGAATGTAAACTGGAGTCGCCCAAATAAATTACAAAGACGATACACGAATTACCAGATTTGAGTGTCTCAGTTCCACTACATATACGACCAGTTGCACAGAAAACCTACATCTGAAATTTAGCGTAACTACAAAAGACACACCGAATTACCTTTCAAAATCACTACCCGTTCATATTTGTGTTTAAAAGTTGTAACTTGCATCCCCAAGAGAGTAGTCGTATGGACTAATGAAAGAAACAACTCTTTTGTAATGAGACTAAACTTAAGACGTAGGCTCTGCAATTAATTCTGTCTGGTATCTGGTGTCTGGTGTGTGTGTGTATTACACACACACACATCACAAAATAGTCGACTCAAATAAAAAGCCAGACAAGTTCAGGTCAGTCTCATACCATCTCCAAATGCACTACAAGCCTACGGAGGGTAAAAAGAGATTATACCAACACCAGATTGTTTAGCTTACCGAAAAGACGGTCCTGATCCTGATCCCATGCTATGCCGTTAAGAACATCAATATCCTGCAATTTGGTGCCAATTTTTATGGACAAATATTTTTACAGTAACAATTTCATAGGGTAAAACATATGAGGATAGCTATTCTTCAAGTGATAACAGTTTACCGTGTGTCCAGATTCTATTAGTTGTTTCCTGTAACACAAACGAGAACATGTAAACTGATTGAACTCCAAATGCATAGAAATGACTAATGTTAATCTAGTTTGATTATAAAGAGAAGAAAGAACCTCAGATCCGGGAGGTATATCCATCCAAGGAATATGCCACCTTTACCCGATATTCTGGCAATGCAGTCAGTCTAGGAAGATGTAAATAAATAAGTAAATTCAAGGCTAAGATCCGATGGCACATAATGCATATGAAATTTATAGGGAAAAAAAATATACGAGTGATTGAAAAATAGCAAAAAAGAGATGTCTTCTGAGAAACCTGCCAAACATTTGCCCATATTTCACCGTTCACATACTCCAGTTCATTCAGGTTGTACACGGCTTGCCCATTGAACATGATGATATGTTTTCTTACAACTGCATGGATATCAAATAAATACAATTAAAAAAAAATAAAAGCTGCGAAAATAAGTTGGAATATTGAGAATTTAGTACTGGGAGTTCAAAGGATCAAGCCCTTTGTTTTCCCTTCTAAATTGCAGCCCCATTATTTTAGTAATTCTAAAATCCAAATTCGTTAAGTGGGTTTGAGACCTTTACTTCAATTAAAATGAAATGATACGTACAGAAACATAAATACATACCCCCTACACAGTGCAATTTTTTTTTATTTCAAACGATCTATGGGTTTTTAATTTTAACTCGACCAAACGTCTATGATAGTTATCTATATTTGACCAAAAGATGCACCCTCCACTTGACCGGGGATTATTGAAATATTGATGGACATGCTTTCATGAAATTGAAAACCTTTGAACGTCTGAGGGTCCATCTCGTATAAGATTGAACTCCCGTCGCTTCCAAATAAAACTTTCCCATCAGTTGCTAGGCCCCACCCATCTTCCATTTGATGTTTAAATGTCTTAATCTGGGTAAAACACAAACATATGGAATATATGTAAAAAAATCGAACCATTTACTTAGAAGTTCACCATAAAAATGGGAGCAGGGGTGAGAATATTGAAGATGAGAACACTAAAAGTTACTGACATAAAAGTAACAAGGACGACATTAAGATTGCCTATGAAGCAAACTGCTTTTGGAGAATAAATGAATAGAAGTTCCTAATCTGTATTCTCTAGAGCACCAGATTAATAACTGTACCCATAGCTTTCATAAAGGATACATTTCACAGGGGCACTTCCTACAAGCAGAAGGGAGATGGTAGCAAAATTAAGTTTCGACTTGATAGAAACCAAGTAAAAAATACAAAAGGTACAATCTGGAAAACAATATTACATGATCATTAGTTAAGAAGTGTTGCGACATATTCAGTATCCAGACATTTTACTAGTCCTAGAGGAGCTGAATCTAACTTCCTAAAATTCTGGACCCTCTTAAGTAGAAATTCATCAAAATCAAATACTCTAACACTGACCCACATGATGTGAAAAGCCTTGAATATAAGTAACAACCTTATTTTGTAATACAAAACATGACGTGATAGTAAATGGTCAAAAGTGATGCCAGGAGAAATATGAAGGTCAAGTAACGCGCAAGTTCTCAAACTGAGCATGGCATGAGAATAAATAGTCAAAAGTGAAGCTGAAAGAAATCACAGGTCAAGAGAACAAACTTTTCTCAAGTTACTTCGATCATATATGAAACCAGTTTTCTTCAACCAAGTAACTTGAAACAACCTACAAAAGTTTACAGGATTAATGCATTAGAATCACTGAATTGGTCTAATATTAACTCACTAAACAACTAATATAAATCATTCTGATTTAAATTTGTAAGCTATAAGGAACAATCCCCCTCCCCCTATATATTAATTCAGAACGTGTTGAGCCTAAGTGGCAGGCTCGCATGCTTCGGGATCCTATGTGAAAAAATTACATGCTTCGTTATTAGGCTTGGGTAGATTTTAATTTACTTCCAATCCAAAAATAATTAGGTCCGGATTATCTATATATGTTGATTATATAAATATGTTGATTATTTATGGTCATGTTACATGTATTAATGCATTTTAATATCATTTCTTATTATAACTATTGAATTGTAAATATATTTTAAAAGTTCATAACTTTTGTATATTTTATCAGTTTACATATATAATATATCAAATTAATCATCTCTTGATGAGTTTCGATTTAACATCCATATTGTATGCATAAAAAAATAAATTATATTTATCTTTATAACAATAATGATTTTTTTTAATAATAATTAGAAAATAAAATTATTTATCAATTATATACTTATATTTCAATTAATTATATGATATAAGTTATAAAAATTACTATAATGTAACACATGTAAGTCGCACAAGTAACAGATGTCATTCTAAAAGATATAATAGTATATATTATTTGTAAGAAAGTAAATAAAATTTAAAGTAACATTACTCATTAATTTTAAAATTTAAGAATAGTTTTTTAACAAGCACCCGTGTAATACACGGGTGTTGTACTAGTGACTAAAACAAACATAAAGTTAGAAAACACTGCCAGAAAACAACTTTTAACTGAGAACAACCCGTTTTAACAAATGCAGCTAATAAAATAAAGCCTTTTCCAATTTTTATAAGATGTTTCTGCATTATAAATTTACTTCATAAGATCTTCACATGATGAATAAACATAAAACACTCTAACATGAGCAACTAGGAACACAAACCTGTCACCTAAAAGAGTCAAACCCTCCCCAAAGTAAGAGTCTGGCATTTTGTGAATACTCAGAACCTGCAAGAAAAATTGAAGCTACTTAGATATGTATCGCTCCAACTAGAATTTCCGGATGTTTTGAATGCCTATAAATCCTGGGGAAAAAAATGGTTTCTCTTCTCTAAGAAGTTATAAGTCGAATATTTCCAAGTTAATAAACTTCGAAAAGATTCTTGGAGAAGAAAGAATAAGAAATGATAAGAACAAATAATGGGTCTGGATAGTTGACCCCTCACCCTACTCCAACCCCTTAAAAACGGGGGAAGAAAGGGAAATAGAAATTCTGGATAGTTGATTAAACTTAAGTACCTTCCCTGATCCAATAGCAACTCTTCGCACTGAGGACTGCACTTCAAGAAAAAAAGAAACAAAAAACAAAAAAATAAAATATACCACCTTATGAGAAAATCTGCATATTAAAGCCATAACAGAGTAAAAGAATATACCTACAACAGTAAACAACATAACACAATAATATGTTCGATGAGAATTACTACAGTGGTAAGCAACTCAAAAATTCGGAGTCAATTGTAGGTTTGAGAGGAAATTGCGTGATGAGAGTAATAAGTAATAAGCATATCATATCATTAGAATTAGTAGTGCAGCTATCTTGATGTATGAACAATAAATAAAACTTTATGCCCAGAAGTGTGTGGCACTCTAGTACGACAATGTATTAAAGTATTCTGGCGGTGCAGGTACAGTGCACCACGTACTGGAAGCTGAGGGATTAAAAGATGCCGTATTAACAATATTCTGGCAGGCAGGCAGAATACACCACATATTGAAGGCTGAGGAATTAAAAGAATTAAAGTGTCCATTTCCAGAAGTATTACTGATCCAACACAAGCTCTTTTACTATAATTCCTCTCCACTCACTATCCTTCACAAGTTTTCAAAATAAACTACCATGAGAAAACAAACTGAGTGCATGAAACAATGTGGTTAATACGCATAGCATATCATCAGGGCCAAATACAAAGGAATCAGAAACTCACATGCCCATTAAGTCCTGTAGATTCAAAAAGGGAATCATTTCCTGCATACAAAAGCCCCTGAAATCAATTGTGACATGGTTAATCCCCGTTGAAGAGCAAAAAGTTTCCACGGT